ATGTATATAAAATATATGTTGAGAAATAGCTGGAGATAGTCGGGAAAGTAATAAGGTGAGCCTTTATCCACGAGATCGATGTACAAAGAAGTTTAGTGGTTCGTTTTTGACAACAAAGTAAATTATGAAAATCCAACCCRAGGAGATTCTATAATTGTCTGTACCAAAACAGGGAAAGATTTAAAAATACTTAAGTGTACAATATACTTGAAAATATGTTAATCAGACGGACGGAGGTCGCACTCTGTTCCTACTGATTACAGACTGATAGCAAAGGCGATTTTTTCCTTAAGTAATTATTACGTATATAGGGATTACAGCGTTATGTTAAATTATTTTGTATAATATGTGCGTATAGTTTACGTTTAATATACAGTAAAGAACAATGTTTTTTTTTATATAATATACTCTCATAAACGACGTAAAGACGCAAACTGCACTAACGAACCTGCAGTGACGTCTGATCTTTATCGCAATAATTATATGATTTATTTCATTTTTCTCGCAATTATATTTATTACGCTGTGTAACACTAACGTATAGTCTTCCGGCTAAGATGAGTAKAAATACGCTGATACAGATGTATTAAGTAAACATTTTTTTTCCGGTAAACACTCCAGAATTGCGGACCGGAAGGACATTGCTTATAGACACTATCTTTTCTACATAGTTTACACACATACAACATTATACGTAATAATATTATATTAATTKTACACGGGCCCGGCGCGTGTATAGAGCCATAGAGGCACCTGCATGCGCCGTGAAAACGAGAACGAAACAAATTATTGTGATGGTTAGGAATTTGAAATCTCCGTATTTTTATCGTTTTCGAAGCACGTTTCATCTCTTAGAACTTGAACAACGATCAATCCACTCGAGTAGAATAATGATATTATTTTAATCGACATCCGGATTAACAGCGTTCTATTATTGTTTTTAGGTTAATACCTTACACTGTAGCAGTCTGTCTGAACCTTCTGGATTCACATTAGGTAAACACTAAACACACACGCCCTCGATAATATTGTATTTCACGTATAATATATTAACTATAGTTTATATTATAATGAATACATATATAATATTTTTCCGAGGTATAAGATAGTACATTTTCGCGACAAACGTGCTCATGGCGAATATCAGAATAAACTATAATATAACTACATGTTTACATGCTATATAATATAGACCTTGTGTGCACACCCGTTGCCGTGGTCTCCCTTGGGTTGAAAAGAGAGTACCTATATAATATTATAAACACGATTGACATTGAGTGCGGTATTGGCGATTTTATTGGAATCTGAGGACGTTGACGGGTGAGCGTCATATATAAAAATATATAAAGCGTAGCACTGCGGTGTGCACGACTTACGTGATCGAAAGTGTCTGGTCGGATAAGAATAATAAAAAAAAAACAATATCGAAACTGCAATAGTGCAATGTTATTTAAATCTACATCATACGATCAACTGTATTATTCATATTATAATATAGCTTACAGTACGCACATAAATGAACGATGTGGTTTTGCGGGTATTGACTATCGAGTGGTACAGCAGAAACATATTATAGCGTATAATTTTGTAAGTATATAAAATGAAATATAGGAAATGCCGGATGTCAAAATCACAGAGTTTGAGATCGGTATGTTAGATAAGAAATAACAAAACCTAACACTTCTGAAAACCTATTATTTTTATTTTTTTTGCCATCGTAACAGGTATTAAACTTAGSTCACAAATATTTTGATATTTTCAGCTTGAGTTAAAGGATGTTTCCTAGTCTTCGAAGAAATATAAAATTGTTACAAACTATTTATATGCACACTACAATGCTACCGGTTACATAGTGTTTATTTTAATCGTCACCGGATACCGTTGTTATAAATCAAAATATTTATGTCCTCTGTGGCTCCGAGCATATTTTGTTACCCGATACGTTTTGTCATTTCCAACCATCGTGTGGCTATGACATAATTTATGGAACAAACAGAGAGTGATAATTYCCCGTAATTCAAATTAAATAATATAATTTAATTAGGTGAGTAAAAAATTATTTTATTCAATATTTTTATGTTAGGTATATAATATGTAAATTTCAAGAAATTAAAAAAAAAAATAATTGAAACAATCAAACAATATAAAAATATAAGCGAAACGATGCAAAAATACATAGGTAACAAATAATATGAACGCAACTGTAAATAGAGCATCTACTATTGACGTCTTTTGAGATATATATAAGGGGTTTACCCGCACCATTAAATATTTAAATTTAAATGAAAATAATTTTAAATCTACTTATTTTTGGTATTAGCTATTATATTTACACTTGAAATAACGAATTTGTTCAAAGTATTATTTAAAACCAAATAAAAAAAAAATACATTTAAATCACCAAACGTGTTTTTATTTAACTACTCTTTTTAGTTGTTATTAATTTATAGGTACTGATGTGTATGATATATATATATAKACCGATATAGATATACCTAAATTATTTGTTAAAAAAAATATTATTTACCTATGAATAGTATAAGGGTTTATTACATAAGCCCTCGCGATGTTCTCGTTAGCAGTAGTAATAAGTGTATGTGATGATATCTCGAAAACTATATTCCATCCGAGGCGGCAATCTCCGATCACTGTTCATCTGTGTACTGTGTATAATTAAGACGCGAAAAATTTAAAATATGAAAAAAAATATATATGTAAATACCAATAAAAAAGTTAAGCACAATATTAGTTGGTAATAATTCGTCTATTAAAACCACACACTCCAATAATAATATCGAATAGATTGTTGTAAACAATAAAATTCCGCGAACGGAACAATATGACAATATAATTATTTTTTATGCACGATAATACCAATACGATTATGTTACGCCGCACTGAGTGATTGCACGCAGGTCGACACCTGTACGAAAACTGAGCTCGTCTCTGGCGGTTCTTTCACTCGCCGCCGTCGCAGTATCGGCACTCTCTCCCAGCGCAACCTGTTCCGCAAGCACGCGCGCCACACGGCGATGATAATAATATTTTATTTGTGTTCGATCCGAAGCGGACGKATGAATGGGCGGCGGGTGCTAAAGAAAGAATCGCTCGCCTATAGTGTTGGATTTTTCACCTTTTTAACTAAAATCAGTTAAAAACGAGTCATCAAAGATTAAACCTTTTTTTTATTTGTACACAATATTATAATTTATAATATTATTAGATTATTACTATAAAATAATATTATCATTTATCGGTAAAAAACTACGGATTGGTGATACTTAATTGAACCACGAAAAATCGTAACCACCATCAAGATATTTCATATATGTGTTTTATTAAGTTTAAAATAGCCAGCATAACTACATCACTAGGGGAACTAGAGTTGAGAAGGTTGATATTATAATTGTTTAAGGATAGCGTGATCACGGAGAGAAGGAAGGTGTGATAAGAATAAAGTTATATTTATGTATATATAAAAAAGTACAATGAAATAATACGAGGCTAAGTTCACGTCTTATGAAACGGTTTTGGTGAAAAGTAGGTGTTTAATACACAAAGAGAAGTTATAGGTATTAAGGGCTAAAAGTAAAAAGATAATAATATTAATAAAAGTAGCGCCTAGGGTGAGGAAATATGACAAATGTGCGCGGAACGGAAAAAGGAAAACAATAAGAAATTTGACAGTCGCGGGGAAATTTAAGAGAACATTGAACTGCAACAATATTATTATTCATTATTGACAATCGATATTTTTAATTTGCTATTCTAGTGCAAAATATTGTTTCTGAAAATTGTATTACATCTGATATCATTGTTATTAGCAGTAGCCTACGCAGGATTTTAGTTAGATTAAGCCGGTTAAGGTTTTACATGAGAAAATAATTTAAATAATTTGCTTTACAGTTTTTAGTTATAACAAATTATAATTTATAATAAATTAATAATAAATTTAATTAATATCTATTAAAAACTAATTGATTGAMTCTTTGTATTGAAATGGTGGWAAATAAGATTTATTTTTTAAAATGAAAAAATTTCAAGGGGGGGTTAGAATCCTAAAACCCTACCCCTTGGTACGACACTGGTTATTAGTTTTTACAATTTAAAGATCACTACTCTTATATTACATATGATAATTTATTCTCCTATAACTTCTCTACATAAATTATAACATCAAGAACCATAGGCGTGCGGACAGGGGCAGCAAGGTGTGCTCTTGCTGCCCCTGGAC